ATTTCCTAAAACTCTGTTAGTTTTTTTTTCTCCTGCAAACGTGTTTGAAGTTTGGAGTAAACTATTAAGGAAATCAATTTGAGGAAAAGTTGGATCTATTAAAATAATTTGTAAATATTTTACTCTGCATTCTTGGAGTGCAGATAGATTTAATTTTTTAAATTAGCAACAACCATTATAATAAATAAGTAAATTAGTCATTTCCTTTTTCTTAACCTAAATATGTAGTATCTATTTCACAATTTTCAGCTGGGTGTAGTGGTACACATCTTAATCCTTACCCTTAAGAGGCTAAGGCCGGTGGGACTGGAGAGATGGCTCAGTGGTTAAGAACACTGACTGTTCTTGCAAAAGACCTGGGTTTGAATCCCAACACCCACATGGCAGCTAACAACTGTCCGTAGCTCCAGTTCCCACAGGGGATCCCACAGCCTCTTCTGTCCTCCACAGGCATTGCACGACATTGTTGCACTTACCTACATGCAGGCAATACACGCATACACATAAAATAAAAATAATAAATAAAAAATATTATATAGCCAGGCGTGGTGGCGCATGCCTTTAATCCCAGCATTTGGGAGGCAGAGGCAGGTGGAGCTCTGTGAGTTCAAGGCCAGCCTGGTCTACATAGTAAGTTCCAGGACAGCTGGGGCTACAGGGAGACCCTGTCTCAGAAAGACAAAAAAAAAAAAAAGCCTCAAAAAAAAAATGCTCAAGTTGCCCACTTATGTCTAAGCTCTTTGAGGGGACAAGACTTGATCCACAGTACCTAGGAAAATTCCACAAGCTACATGCTCAAAAAAATCAAACTGAAGATTAGTGAGTATACTAAGGCTTTGCCACAGGAAGGGAACTGAGAGGTAGGCCATTTACAGAGAGGAAAACATCCTGACCAGTGATGATCTGATGTTGCTGGTATTTTCTGATCTATGAACTTCAAACTGAGCTGGGGATGTAGCTCATTTGGTAGAGAGCTTGCTTAGCATTCAAGAAGCCCTATTTCCATACCATAGCCATATAAAACCCAACTGCAGTGGTACATGCCTAAAATCCCAGCACTCTGGAGGTAAAGTCAGGAGGATCAGGAGTTCAAGGTCTTCCTCAGCTACATAGCTAGTTCAAGCCCAGCTTGGGGAAAATGAGACCATCTATCTATCTATCTATCTATCTATCTATCTATCTATCTATCTTCTATCTATCTATATCTATATATGTGTGTGTATGTATATATATGTATATCAAATTGACTATTGCCTTCTGTGCTGAGCCTTTCCCATATAATTCATGAGAGCAGGATCTCTTGGAGTCTAGAAAAGCAGGGAACACACCAGCACCATTTCCCATCAAACTATGACAGAGTCAACTTTAGTTTGAGAAAAAGAACAGTGTGCTGAATTAAACATGTTTCTAATACTGCTGGATTTATGTCTTGCTGCATGCTAAGGGATATATAAAATCACCAGGACTGATCTCAACGATGGTGACTGCACAGGTCAGGATACAAATGCTTAATAATAAGCTGCCCAACTGCCAGCTCTATTAGAGCTAAGCTTAGGACTATTGTCCTGGGAATCTTTTCACATTGTTTCTATGGAAAAGGCAATCCAAACTCAAAACAATCCATTTAAACAGTGATCTACTGGAAGTGCTACAGTGCATGTGTGACTTACCACCACCTAAAGTATATTGGGATCAACATATGAACAAAAACAGATGAGCCGGACAAAGATGTTAGTAGCTGGTAGTTAGGTGTACCAGTTTTTTCTCGGCTGTGTTTGAATCGCCCTCTTTTGGTCTCTCTCTTAATGCAGTGCTTGTTTGCTTTGCATTCCTTCAGACAGTCCCTCTGTTTTTAAGTTCTTTATTAAATTCTCAATTATACTGCCTTAGTCACTCCCTCATGTTGATAGTCTTTTCATTGTAAGCTTATATAACGTTTTCAGTGGTTTCTTTGGCTTCACATCCTTTCCCCCTATGCCTTACCTTTCCAAGTTTTTATAGCTAAAAGCCAAAAATAAACTAAAACTTTATTACTTCTGGTTAATATAGAAATATAATGTTGCATTTAAGAACTTTCAGCATATCAGAAGGAGTCTAGCCTCTAGTCTTTGTTTATTCTCCCAAAAATCCCCCTAAAACTCCCATCATTCATTTTTTCCCCCAAAGCTTTCTAACAATGAAAATGTAACCACCATGGAAGCTGACCTCGAAAGTTCTTTGGCAAGAACAGTATCTGATGTAATCTTCCAACAGGGGCAGAATTTCCTTTATTCCACAAGAATGGATAATAGTGTATCGATGACATTTTGTACTTTCACAGAACAAGCAGCTGGTGTATACCACAGAGAAGCTCGGTCTGGCAAATACAAGCTCACCTATGCAGAAGCTAAGGCCGTGTGTGAATTTGAAGGTGGCCGTCTCGCCACCTACAAGCAGCTAGAAGCAGCCAGAAAAATTGGTAACTAAATTTTCAACAATTTTTTCTTCTTTTTCACCCTTGGAGGCAAAAATCCGCCTTTCCCATAACCATTATTAAGACCTCTCTCTAGCACTTTGGGATTGTTCTCTATGCTGTGGGGACAGCTTTGCTTCCTGGGTTCCTCAATTCTCTCTGCTTAGAGTCAGAAGGCTCTAGTACCAGCATGTCATATTGGGGGTCATGATCCAGTGAGAAGTAAGAAAATAAATATTATACAGAGAAGCAGGTCAGATGCAGCAGGTTCCAGAAAGGAGCTGATGTGGAATTACCCTTCAGAATGAACTTTATTGAGAACCTTGTAAACACAGCAGGCATTGGGGTGGGGGGGGGGACACGGTGGGGCGGGGCGGCTGGGCCTTGAAGTGGGTGAGCAATTGGGAGAGATAGAGCATCATGCCCGAGACAGCATGGTGGAACCTAGATGGGACAGAGGGAGAGAGAGAGAGACCTCTCCTTTCAAAAACCTGAAGAAGCATTTCATTAGGGGAGAGCTTAAAGGGGGAAAGTAGGAGAGATAGTCCCCATGTACAGCATGATGGGGGTCCTGAAGGAAAAGCCTTCAAGTCCCTTGAACAAAGGGAGATTTCAGACATAGATTTCCAGGGGGCGGAGGGAAGTTCTACCCCATGTGATTTAACCTAACAGTGTATATAGCACTGAGTCAGTTTCAAGGTAGGACCATAAACTCATCTTACAGCTGTGAGAGGAAGGGCTTCAAGGCCACAGCACAGTTCAGTTTCTCAGCTCTTTGACCCAGAGAAAAAGAGTTGCAAGGAGGCCTGGCCTGATTTCTAGGAGAGAGAAAGGGAGCTGGATGGCCTGTGATCTAACAATAAGCACTAAAGGAAAATGAAGACCTCATTACTTCAATGTCATTGAAATACCTCATTAATGTTAATGTAATTGGTAATTATTTTTAATGTTGTTTTATCTCTTTTGACATGTTAGCGTTGGTTTTTCTCAACTATTAATGGCAGTGTTTCACAAAAAAATTTACCTAGTGGTAGAAATATTAAATTTTAGTCTCTGTCTCTCTCTGCCTCTCTCTGTCTCTGTCTCTGTCTCTGTCTCTCTCTGTCTCTCTCTCTCTCTCTCTCTCCTATTTTTTTTGAGACAAGGTCTCATTATATAGCCTACCTGGCCTCAGACTTCTGAGCTTCCTCCTGCCTCTCCATCCCTCATGCTGAGATTATAGGTGTATACCACCATGCCAGGCAATTTTTAATTGTTTTTTTATGAATTTCATATAATACATTATGATAATATTTAGACCCCTTCCCATATCTGTACTCCCCATTGCCCCCCTCACTGGTTTTCATGCATTCTGTTATATAAGGCCTATTGAGCCAAGTTTGTGTCCCCAAGTGTCCCTCTGTGAGTCTATCCACTGGAGCTGCCAGTGGAAGAATACATTTGTGCTGCTGTAGCTGTAGCACAGGACTGAAAGCACAGGCAGGTTATAAAATGGTAAGAGAGAGAAACTGGAACTATGATGTTGGGAGACTAGTGAAAACTCCAATGGTTAATTGACTTGATTTTTACTTGATTTTTGTTTATTTGGATAGTTGGTTAGTTAGTGGCTAGGTTGGTTGGTTTGGTTGGTTTTTTGAGACAGGATCCCATGTCGTCCAGGCTGGTCTGGGATTCACTATACAATTAAAGCTGGCTTACAACCCCTGACCCTCCTACCCAAGCCTTTTGGGCTGGAACTACAGGTGTGTGTCACCACTTTAGGCTCTACTCTTTGCTTCTTTACACAAATATCTGGTTATTATCTCCCTTGAGCCTCCAAAGAATGGACCACCCCTTTAGAGCTCCTTTCCTTAAAGGAAAATGCCTGGCAAAACATTTGCCATTACCAGACTTTGTTCACAACATACATATGGTTGTCCCACAGTGTCAGTGAAAAATTGGTTCCAGGACTCTCACTTAAACCAGAATCCAAGGATGCTCAAGTCCTGTGAGGCAAACTTAGGGCCTCACACATGCTACACAAGCGCTCTACCACTGAGCTACATCCCTTCCCTTATGTTTTATTTGTTTGCTTGCATTTTATTTTTGTGTTTTTGTTTGGACATAAAGACTCAACAGTCTCAAACTAGTCATCCTCCTGCCTCCAACTCCCAAGTGCTGGTATTACAGACATGCAATACCATGTATACTCTGTATATTTTAAATCATCTCTGGATTATTTATGATATCTACTCCAATGTAAACACTGTGTAAATAGGGTATTGGGAAATAATGAAAAGAAAATTATCTGTATATGTTCAGTTCAGATGCAGTTTTTTTCTGACCGTATGGGGGATTGAACCTAGGCATCATTCATGTGAGGCAAACACTCTATCACTGAACTAAAGCCCCAGTCCTCAGATGCAATTCTTTTAACAAATTATTTTTGATTCCCCAGATGGTTGAATGCACAGATGGAGAAATCCCTAAATGTTTTTTCCTCAAATGTCCCATAGCTTCCCCAGACAGCTGCCCACCTGTAATCATGGGCTATTTGGGGAAATTGAAATGATGGGTACCAAGGCCATCTTGAGCCTCTAGTAAAACCACCCTCAGATGTCATCAGCAGCAGATACTAAAAGAGCCTCTGAAGCTGAGCCAGGAAAACAGGGCTGAGCCTTTGTTTGAAATATGTGAGAACTGATCTTTATCCATAACTTTTAAAATATAGAAATTAATTAAATTGCCACTTGAAATGTTTTTTTTCAGGATTCAGAAATGATCTCATGATACCGGTTAGGCCATTTATGAAAAGTTACAGCTCTGAAACTGGGTGATTTCCATATTCATGGTGGTACAATTTCTCATCCATCTGCATTTGTTTTTGTTTTCAAATAGGACCACTTACTCATAAAAGTCAGAACTTAAAATTTAAAGCCAGACATGGTGATACACACCTGTAATCCTAGCACTTGGGAGGTGAAGGCAGGTACATCAAGAGTTCAAGGCCAGCCTTAAATGATATGGAGTTTGAGGTCAGCCTAGGTTACATGAGATCTTGTCGCAAAATAAATAAATATAAATAAATAAAGTTGGGGCTAAGAAATAGCTAAATGGTTAAGAGCTCATAGTGCTCTTGCAGAAGACCCAAATTCAGTTCCCACAACCCATATCCACATCAGATAGCTCATAACCATGTATAAATCCAGCTCCAGGTGGATCCAGTACCTCTGAGGGCACTTGTGTGTGTGTGTGGAGAGAGAGAGAGAGAGAGAGAGAGAAAGAGAGAGAGAGAGAGAGAGAGAGAGAGAGAGAGAGAGAGAGACTCTTTTTAGAAAAGAAATTATATTTCACTTGTATTCAAACTTCTTTTGTGGTGCTATGGACTGAACTTAAGGCCTAGCTCTTGGTACAAAGTCTTACTATGTAGTCCAGTCTGCCCTCAACCTTACAGTCTGGTGCCTCTGAGGTACTGGAATTACAAGTTTTACCCATTTTGAATGAAGTGGTTTGGCCACTTGAGAAAAGTATACTAGTCAGTGACTACCTTCCTACTAGACTGAGGGACTGTGCTGGTTGAATCCATAAGCTTTTCTTCTTGCAGGATTTCATGTCTGCGCTGCTGGATGGATGGCCAAAGGTAGAGTTGGATATCCCATAGTGAAACCCGGGCCCAACTGTGGATTTGGAAAAACTGGCATTATCGATTATGGAATCCGACTCAACAGGAGTGAGCGATGGGATGCCTACTGCTACAACCCACATGGTTTGTTGTTAAAAATAATAATTTTGCCAGGCGTGGTGGCACACACCTTTAATCCCAGAACTTGGGAGGCAGAGGCAGGTGGATCTCTGTGAGTTCGAGGCCAGTCTGGTCTACATAGTGAGCTCCAGAACAGCTGCAGCTACAAGGAGACTCTGTCTCAAAAAGACAAAAATAATAAAATAATAATAATGATGATGATGATGATGTTGTGTTTTGCAAAAATATACAATTACCATGCTACTCAGAGATTATTAAAAAGAAATGGTTTTTCCTTCTGAAAATAAGTGAATGTGGTAATGATAATTATTAACAAAATTTTCCCTACCATTCGTAGGACCATTCATGCCATTCAGGACACAATTATGTCCTCTCACTTATACTCTCACTAATAAAGAAGTTCAGCTCTTCTTTTTGGATATCTTCCCCAGAACAGTATTACTAAGGGTTATATATTATATTACTGGCATTTACGCTCATAAACATACTGAAATGATATAATAATTATAATAATTCCTTATTTGAGAATATTTTTGCAGAGCATAGTGACACATGCTTGTAATCCTAACTCTCCATGGACAGAGGCAGGAAGACCAAGAATCTGTGAAATAGCTTAGTCAGTAAAGTGCTTGCTTTGCAAGTATGAGGACCTGGGTTCAAGCCTGACAATGAATGTTTTTAAAAGGTGGAGTGGGGGGGTGAGGCTGGAGAGATGGCTCAGTGTTTGAAAGTACTGGCTATTCTTGCAGAGGACCCAGGTTCAAGTCCCAGCACCCACATGGCGGCTAAAAACTCCAGTAACTCCAGTTCCAGGGGATTCAACACCCCCTCTTCTGTCTTCTGTGGACATTGCACAACACGGGTACGCTTGCATACATGCATGCAATACACTCATACACATAAAATAAAAATTTTTTAAAGGTCAGGCATGGTGACATGTGCTTGTAACCCCAGTGCTGGAGAGGCAGAGATAGGGAGATCCCTGGGACTCACTGGCTTGCCAGCATTGCTTATTTGTAGGTTTCAAGTCATTGAAAGTTACATAGGCTCCTTCATAGTATTCTCTCTAGGTCTTATTGCAGCTAACAACCATCTGTAACTCAGTCCCTGAGGATCTGACTCCCTCTTTTGGCCTCCGTGGGCATGGAATGGCATGGATGCACTTGCATATTTGTAAGCAAAACACTCATACACATAATAAGATAAAAATAAGTCAATAAAATAAAAATGTTAAAAAAAGATTCACAAATAATCTATGTTCAATTTATGAAATTTAGTAGTTGGACCAGCAGGATGGCTCAGTGGACAAAGGCAACTTGCTGCCTAGCCTAAGGACTTGAGTTCCACCCCCAGACCCACATGGTGGAGGGAGAGAACTGACTCCTGAAGGTTGACTTCTGACCACTAAAAGGTATGCCATGGTACTGGCATATGCTGGCATACAAACACATACACACACACACACACACACACAAAAAAAAAAAGCATGATGAAGTTCTTTTTTTAACCTATTTCTTTTTATGTTTGTTTTGGTTTTTTGGTAGGATTACCCTAGTCCCAGCACCCCCGGAAATCACCATGTGGACTGTGGACCAGGCTGGCCTTGATCTTGTAGAGATTTGCCTGCCTCTGCCTCCTGAGGGCTGACTAAAGGCATGCACCACCACACCCGGCGTTACCCTATTTCTTTTTAATTATTGTGCGTGTGAATGTGCGTGTGTGTGTGTGTGTGTGTGTGTGTGTGTGTGTGTGTTGGTTCTCTCTTTCCCCTGTGGGTTCCCGGGGTCAAACTCAAATCTTC